CCACACTGGGTCCTCCCTTTAACTCGAGAACACCGACGTAATCGCCTTGAGTGGTGCAGACAACGGTCACTCTGGGATCAGGAATGGAACAGTATCGTCTTTGGTGACGAGTCTCGATTTTGTTTAGGCATGCACGATGGTCGTGCCAGGGTTAGAAGGCGACGTGGTGAAAGGAGGAATCCACAGTTTTTTGTTGAAAGACATATTCATCACACTGTTGGAGTTATGGTTTGGGGTGCTATAGCTTATGGTTCCGGGTCACCTTTAATCACGCAGCGTTATATCCACGAAGTTCTAGAACCCCATCTTTTACCCTATCTTGACACCCTGGCAGATCCAACTTTCCAACAAGATAATGCCCGACCACATGTTGCAAGAGTCACAATAGACTTCTTTCAACATAATGATGTCATATTTTTACCATGGCCACCAAGATCTCCCGACTTATCCCCAATTGCGCACGTGTGGGATATGATGGGTAGGAGATTGCTCAATTTGCAACGTCCTCCTCAGACTCTACAAGCACTTCGAGAGGAGTTGGTGGTTGCCTGGAATGAGATACCACAGGAGGACATTGACCACCTGATCAGAAGCATGCCTAGGCGCGTTGGAGAATGCGTAGCACATCAGGGTGCATCCACACATTATTAAAGGTCAAAGGGCTTTAAAGCAGTGCAATCATTTAAAATTTTTATCGTTTACTTATTATGCTTCATTAAGTACTTATACATAATTTTATTAAAATAAAACCATTTAAACTGGGTGTTCGGATTTATATGTCACTTAGTATATATCTAGGTGCGTAGCTGGAATTGGTATTTTCGACTTAGAACCCTCTGTTTTTGAATTTTTCCTTACCAAAGCTCTAGCTGCGTTCATCACTACCAAGTAATAGTTCACCTAAAAATTGGCCACTGGCGTTGGCATCCTATTTACTATGTTTTGGCATTGCACAGCTATTCGTGTTCATTGAAAATTCACTTCTGAGAGTCAACATTATCTATTTAACTAAACGATTCGAATAGTCTGTGTTGAAAATTGACCTTATTACAACGTATAATTTTTAAAATATTTCAAGGAATCGGGTATTTCATGAGAAGCTCTGTAAATGTGTACTGTTTTCTAATTTCTGTTTCAAATGAAGTTGTTTATACATTTAAATTCAACATAGCCAATGAGGATTGCATTAGCTACGTTTAGCGTTGTTTAGATCCGAAAATCCTTTGAATTGCACAACTTTTTATATTTCGCTTCCTCATATACTTGTACAGGTTTAGTTAAAATACTGCTACAATTTGGCTAACTTCTTATCTGTTACCATTTCCGTTAGGTATGAGTTATCATCACTTTTTATATAATTTGGACAGGTTTGATTCAATATTGCATTAAACCCAAGGCTAAAACTGGGAAAATGGCACGAACGTTCGTTATTCAACCACTTTATTGTAATACAATCCACAATTTTTATTAACTATCTATCGTTGTTGCAAAAGTCAAACGACGGCTCGGGCTTCCATCTAAAAATTGACATTCGGCCGGACCCCTAGTTAAAATGTACCCGCCATCTATTAGTAGACGCATCCACCATTTTTAAACGAGGCGTTTTAACCACATTCACCATTTTCTAAAATTAAATCTACATTTGCTGTTTGCCGTCTTTGGACAGGTAATCGAGGGTACAGCGTACGTAGGTTTCACGGAAACCAGTGAAGGTCAACAGATGTACCTGATATCCTCAATCAGAATAGTAACTACCCACCAAAAACGCTTAGGTAGGTGACGAGATTCACGACATGACGAGGTTAAATGGGGCAGGAATACATCTGTAGGGCAAGAAACAAATTATTTTCCCTTAGGGACATACAGGAGGCCTTCCTGGTAGAAATATATAGGCAGCATGTACAACAAAGTACAGGAAGTATCATTTATAGGTGATTAAGTAACCAAGCGGCTTTGATAACGATAGCATCTCCAAAGACAAGATCAGATCTGGTCCAGGAGTGCAGCAGATACCTTCAACGTCTAACACTCGCGAAGGACTAACTGTTGTGGCTGCCTGTTTTCTTTAATGAATGAGAGATCAATTATTTGGCTCGCCCCGAATCGATGCAGGTACCAGGTTAATACCGTCTGGGACAACTGGACACAGGAGGAACTGGTGGAACTATCGTTAAGCAAGGATAACTACAAGTAGGCCAACAAGTTTGTAGCAGGCCCAATAAAGGTTCGAACGCCTAGTTTATTGAAAAAAGTAGTTAATCCCTGAATCATTATGGGAATAAGGAGATACTGTACTATCTACTCCACATGCCAGGGAAAGGATGAAAGATCTTTCAACTTCCTAGGCAAGTGCATGGAACTGATATTTGGCATGATGGAATGGAATGGAATTTGAAGCAAGCTGGTCGAACATGCGACTTTCATTGGTAGTTCTCATAGGTAAGATGTCAAGGTGAGTGGTCGGGCTGTCATTTGTATTACTGGTGTTCGAGATCATCAAAAAGGGACCAAGTCAGCCTAACTGTCACATGATCAGTGTGACTAATGCTCAGGGGTCCACGGGCTCATTTTTACTGATCATTTTTTCGGATACTCATTTTTACTCGCTTTTTTCTGAAACATTTTTTGGGATATTTCACAATACAATGACCACACATAGATGCTCAGGTCCAAACAGTGTTCCAATAAATCCAAGAACAATTGATGTTTGGTGTATTGTGGGAGGTGTAAGCACCGCCCCTTTCCTCTCCCCTCATTTTAACTTTTCAATATCTGGTACTTACTCTCAGAAACTCTGTTTAATTTTTAATTGTCAGCAACGCAGCCTTTTCGTTCATATTAATGAAATGGCCAGAGAAAAGCTTCCAAACTACTCATTTTTTCTTTTAAAATACTCATTTTACTTTCTACGCAACCAGACGAGGAAGTATTGTAATCGCGAAAAAATTCGAAAATAAGATATTGCTTTTTTTTGGTTGTCGGTCTGTCCCCTAGTTTTATAATTGCCTATAACTTGAGAAGTACTGCTCGGATTGTGATGAAATTCTGACAAAAGGTTACTACTATGCCAAGGATGAAAAAACTTTAAAATCGGGTCAGTGGCGGCAGATCTAGGGGTGAAAACACGAAAAAATGAAAATCACTCAAAATGTGTTTTTTGACTTTCAGTATCCTTTTCAGAAAAAAAATATAGGGGTGGTGAGGGGTGGGGGTATATCTCAATTGCCTGATGTATTATTAGCCTTATTTCTCCCGTCATAGATGTCTCAGTACATTTACCTTTTAAACTTATAATGATAGAGAATGTTTTCGATACACGTCTTTTCCTGTCGCGCAGATATGGGAAGGGGCAACGTTGCCAGCTCGACGGGAATTACCGGTATGTTAGGAAAACCATGTCTATGGACTAATTCTATGGGCCTGTTCGATTGTTTGCAACTAATTTTTTTCTCATAGTGCTTAACTTGTTCTGAACTTAATCCTTCATGACCTGAAGATGGCGTTGCGTAGGAACTTCAAGGTCATTCTACTCGATGTCATTTTTTCACTTATTTTCCCTTCGAACTTACTAGTTTTTCTCATTTTTTCGAGGGCTCTGGGCTGTGGACATCCTGCCATCCAACTAGCAAAGTAGTGTTATGAGCTCTTGGTAAAAGAACCGTTCAGCCATAAAAGATCTCTATTGTTGTTGCCTGAACACCAAAATGCTGGCTTAATGTTGTGTGGAATTTAAATTTGCTTTCTGCAACATATTTGCTCTAAAATGAGGTGTTTAAAATATTCTTATAGCATAGTTATACAACACCTTATAGGGCAAATTTACTACTTTAGCCAACAAATTGCTCCCAACGGAAGCACTTATACAACTGTTGTTTAATCACTGTTAAAGGCTGTACATATGCTAAATATGTTGGTATACAATTCACCATAACCTAACTTTCTGCTGTCATATTTTTGTTAAAATGCGATATCCAATGTTTTAAGACAAACAACGCATGTATATTGGTTCAAAAGGTTTATCAACTGTTCAATCAGAAGATATAGATCTGGTACAAATTCTGGGTAAATCATTCGACTCTGTCGGTATTTCATTTCAGACATTTGTCACATTGTTGTATAACACCTGCAGGTAACACCAAAATATTCTAATAAACTAAAGACAACATGGATTATACACAACCACCCGCCATATTGGGCAAACATGTATTTCTCTATTTAATATTAAATAATTATGTTTCAGTTCTAAATTACAGATATAAAGTGATAAACATTAGTGTAATTGTGTCTAAATATAGGATTTGTGGAAGATTTAACGCAGATAAGTTCAGTTTTCCATCTTGAAAATCTAGACATACTTTTGATCATTATCAAAATATGAATCAAATACGAAGCCCGTAGAAATTGCGTAACTACGAGTACTTTGCACGATAATCACAATAAAATTTGCTGTGCAAGTAATTCAATAGCCCTATATCACAGTGTAGAATTTTATCATATACTGTATGTGTATGAAATTCTCAATGGCTGATATGTAAGTAAACAAGATGACTGTAATGTGTTAGTTATATATTCTTCACTTCGTCTGTACAATACATAAGAAATAGTTTGGTTGCAATAAAGTAGAATCACGTAACAGAATAGTTGCATAGTTGACAAAAACTGAATCTTGCACTGACGCAAATGTCCTATAGCGGTTGCAAGAGGCTTACACTTTTGTTGTATAACTGTTACCTGCAGCCGTTATACAATCTCTTGAATGACTGAAGTGTCCTATTAGGTGTGCCCATTCCGCTTGTATAGCTGTTCTAAGAGGGTTTTGCCAATGTTCTTACAGTATACAATGCTGTGTAAGGAATATTGTATAATCATTCTTGCAACTCTAATAGGAGTGATAATTGTTAGTTGGGCAGCGATATATCAATATGGTGGTTAGCTTTTGCTAAATCGTGCGCGGCATATGCGACTGGCATCATTATAGTAATAAAGTATTCTAAGGATACCTACCGTCTGAGATGTTTGTTGGCCAGTATTACAGACATCAGCGCCAAATTCGCAGCCATTCCCATGGCGGACAGCGCGAATATCAGTGCCGCTTCAGCAGCACCTCCAGGATGACATTCGAAGACTTTCGTCGCATTCGGGGTGGCGTTCGCTGCGCTCGTGCCGAAACGCAGGTTCGCGCCAATCATCGCCACCGCCGAACCTGGAAACGTAAAAGAGACATTACTTTTTTTACTACAACAGAAAAGTCTCTGTTTTATTGCGTATGAATTCGGAAAGTTGACATTTGCCGATGATCGATCAAAATTGACCGCTCTGTAGCGTTATGTGTACCGCAGGGATATTATGTGATGTCATAAAAAGTCGGTATAGTGTCAACTTGTGTACTATCTAGTTGTTAGTCCACGCTACGTGCACCTATATTATAGAGTTTGAGCCATGAAAGCTGCAAATGGCCGTCGCTAGTGCCATCTCTGAAGCAGATGTTACATCACATTAGAGCCAGAAAAATGAAGCTAAAGCGTTATGACGTATAGACAACACGCACACTCAGTACAAATGAACATGAAGTGAATGGCAGCTAGTTCCAAGCTGACATTTTGTCCGAAAACCCAAATACGAAATACATCACTTTTATCTGAAATAGAATTTTCAGCACACGTGTTAGGTCACTTTAGTGACTTTATCTCGAATTTCAATAATATTATATAGGTTTTTCCGAAAAATGTCACCTTGGGACTAGCTGTCATCCATCTCGTGTTTATTTATAGTTGCTGTGGTTTGGCTCTGATGTTATGTAACATGTGCGTCAAAGATGGGACTAGTGGGGGACATTCTATGTCCTGAGCTGTATGTTCTATACTGTTGCCGGAATGACGGTCGTTGTGTCATTTCTCCATAGGTGGCGCTCATAGCGAGTAGGCGCGAAATGAGCTAGCGTGTACTTAGTACACAGATTGACATTATTTACACCACAGCAGCCACGCAGGCAGAAACCTAAATGCTAGGGTACCATGGGTGAAATGACAACAAACGGACGCAGGAGGCTGCATGTTACTGCATGTTGAGACATGTCCATGAGTGCATAGTCGCCGCCAGCAGCACGTCTGTTTATTTAGTTGTTCATTCGTATTGACAGTTTAAAGTGCGCACTATGGTATCGTGGTCACGTAGTAGATAAGGGCAGTTTTACGATATAACTTTACGCGTGGTTTAAGCATAGACAAGTGCTTAGAAGAAATGACGCTTGCATTAAAGAATGATTGTTTTCACCGTCCGACTATATTCAGGTCGTACAGAGAATTCCAAAGGGGCAATTTCACTCAGGAGGACGCTGAGAGGGAAGGAAGGCTGCAAATGTCAGTAACACAGGAAAACATTACTGGTGGAAATTACTTTGAACGAAGTCAATAAATATAGCTGTATTGCAAAACTTTTATAGTACGCTTTGTATGTTATTAAAGTGATGTCATCTCACCAGAACGCCATTTGACGAAATTCGATATTTTACTCAGAATCAGTGACGTTAGATATTTTCAGGTATTGACCTTCTGTGTCAACAAGGGGATATTCTAAAACGTATGTGTGTAGTGACCTTTTGTGTTTTTTAATGTAGTGTCTACTTCAAAAATATTGACGCAATTTTTTGATCCATAGTGTCATAAAAGATTACAACAACTAGAGCCCAATTTTATCAAAATTGCATCGTACTAAGTAGTAAACGCCCAGCCAATGAAAATAGGGAAGATCATCCCGAGAACAAGGAGTAGCAAGGGCGCCAACACTGATGCTCCTTTGATATTAAACGACAATCAAGCAACTTCCTTCCTTCTGTTCTCCGAAATTCTCGGAAGTGAAGTTATGTTGACAACCTCGAACTTTGCTCATATCAAAGCAGGCGCCGGGCCGCGCCGATGGAAACAAACGAAACTCGTCAAGTATTCTGTGCCGGGACTTCCAGGACACCCCCTTCTCCCTCGAGACACGAAGCAGAAACACGTAAAGCGGAACATAATCGCCTTCAATTGGGTTTCTTTTGTTAGCGGATACGGCGCACGTGCCTATGTCAGATATTTCGCTATCTAAATAAATATGCACGGTCTGTTTTACTTTCCACGTGTCTTTGAGAAGACCAGTTAGTGGGGTATTGGAGTCAGTCTAAGATAAAGTTATAAGGCAAATACTGCATTTTAATATAATGAGATCACTCAGACGTTGAGAAACGTTGTCGAAGGACATAAAAATCTTGTATCAAACATTGTTCATGCAAGTTCTATAACATACTTTATTAAAAGCCATACAAATGCAAACCCTTTGGCACGTGCGCATACAAGACAAACATGCGCACAACAAGAAGATTTCATGAAGTCAATCTCGTAAAGATCGGAAAAGGCAACGGTCGTCTTCAAAACCTCGACAAAAGAATCCTAGTTAAACCGGGTAAAACATATTCGCTAAGGCATGTGTGGTGAATCTAAGAAGAAGCTGTGAAGAGAGAGGAGCTCCTCCAGACCAGGCGACAGGAACACCCAGGTACGTGCCAATCCAACATTGACTTTGTATGGCTCTGGCGTCGATTACCTTATTGCCTTAATTATATCTGAACGCGCTTACAGTCCCGCGGCTCTCCACAATTTAGAATCATCTTTGCAATAACACACATATACGAACACGCATCATGATAATCGTACGTATATACATGGGTAGCAGCACTTGTCTCTTGTCCGTGTCTGGTGAGTTTATCCTTCTTTAGACATTGTAACCCTCAGGCAGGTACAATAGCTTGTCCCCTCCTCTCTTCAATTTCTTTACCCTCCAGGTCGTTACCATTTCATCAGAGCTCTATGCCATCTGTAGGCATGGATAGCCAATCTGCCAACTGCATCAACCCCGCGGATCGCCCACAGCATGTTACTACACGCGGTACGACCACTGAGAGCAATGCTCAGCTTCTGCAGATGGGATTACGGTAAATTGCTCCCCGTAGGCCCCCAAGACCTATTCTGGGGGTTCGTTATCCGCAACCACATCATCGCGAAACAGACCATACCGGCCGTACAGCGACTGTCCTTGTGGTCAGCAGTTCACTACCTTCAATGACCCCCTCCTCCCAGACATGACCGATTGGCATAAGTGTAGCTTTTCTAACAGGAAATTCCAATCATATCCTGGTGCAAGATTGCACACCAAGAAAGCCCATCCTATTGAGTACATCAGGGAGTTGGCAGAAAGTGCACCGCATTCGGAAGCTTTCTCAGGCTTACCAACATCGAGGCCAATTTGATTCCGGACCAGAACTATTTCTTGCAAGGTATGATGGCGGCAACAGGGCGGACCAAACATCGAATCAGTCACCGTAGGGACAAGTCCATGTACAAGAAGTACCTCGCCATAGCCAAAGAAGGTTCTCGCAGCCCCCAAGAAACTGAATTCGCCACCACAGTGGCGTCTCCTGCTATCCGGGCCCAGCGCCCGGCGTAATGGTCTGCTTGATTGCTCTACTCGTACTGCGCTGCCAGATGGACGGTATCCAGCGGTAGGGCATTGACAGAATCCGTTTAATTATTGCTCTATTGCGTATGTCCGTAACCAATTTTGTTCTTAAAGGGTTTAACTTATGCTGAACTTAACCCTCTGACCTGATGATGACGGCGTTGCGAAGGAACTGCAGAGTCAATGTACTTTACGCCATTTTTAATATTTCTTATTGCTATTGAAATTGTTATAATTGACAGCGTCCTATCTTAACTGGTAAATTTTTCAGTTAAGGCTTTAACAATACAATAAAAGATTTCTCGAAAATACTTAGCGGAATACCGGGTTCCGAGGTTGGAGATTTTGATATTTAATACAACTTAATTTCTTCGTTTCTAGATTTAGCGTCACGAAATAGTGCAACTTTTTACTTACTGAGTCCTAGCACTGGCATGCTTAATATTTCTCCTATGTACATGATGAGTCGTAATTTCGATTTACTTAACAGCTTTTTGGATATATTTTCACTTTGTTCGACTTTGGGAGACATCAATACTTATTTTCATAAGTACTTGTTTGAATTGACTCGGTTTTTTGTACGGAGGGTAGGTAAGAATGGAATCCTTTTTTTATTATATTTTGAGGTTATTTTCAGCTTTCCTGCTTCCTCTTCAGCATATCATGTGCTTATGCCTTCTTTTTTATCTTCATGTATATCATTGTTATTGACTATTGTTCAAGAAATGGATAAATAGTAAATACAAGTTTCAATAGGCAGACGGTTTTATCTTGTAGCTCAATCGTTATGTAAATTAAGTAAAATACCCAACGCTTTGGAGTGTTGAAATCTACAAACTGTTCTAACTGTGCGAGACACGATTTGCACCACAACTTTAGCTAGTTCTGTTAAATTAACCGCAGGGTGTTTTGAAATTAAATGTATCCAACACACGTGGAGTGTGAATAATACGTGCAAACAAGGGTTAGGCTTGTCTCGTCATGTTACATGTAATACCGAATCTGAATTATCTGGTTTCAAATTTGATGACGAATGGAAGAATATGATGATGGAAAATGATACAAACTATAGATTTCTGAAACCGTCTATTAACCCAAAAGTGATCAGAAATTGTAAATGCATATCCACAGCTTATTTTTCTCCTCCTACGTCGTTAGTAAAAATGAAATTTCATATACATAAAATATTGCAATTTTCTACCTAGTTTTTGTTTACTGCTAATTACTCCGTTGCTGATGCGCGAATTTGTAAAATAAATAACCCGTTCATGAGAATCAGTACAGTTGGCTATTGTTGTAAAGCTGCTACAAAAATGGAAACAAAAATTGGAAACGTTACACTGTTACTCTGTGTTTTTTTGTTCAAGCCATCCCAAAATAACAAAAATTAACACCACAATGTGAAGCGCCATAGAAACAGAGAGAAATCTGTGATAAAAACCAGAAGCTTATTTGCACGTTGGAGGAAACATCGACCAAAAAATATAAAAGAAAGGTCTAAAAACGGTTTCGTATTAATTTAATCTTCACATGACATGAGAGCAAGCTTTTGAGCCCAGCAGGTATCGGTAACCGATATATTAGCCATGCAAGGGTTGAGTAAAGTTGACACAGCTCTTAGATACCGCTCTGTTAGGTGCCATTCGTCAAAAGATATGAAGTAAGCTAACAATGCACTTGATTTTCAGTTCAACTTACTAAGGCACGGCA